GAGAGAGCCCGCTTTAATCAGAGAACACAGCAAGCTAATGAAACTGTAGACTCGTTTGTCACTGCACTTTACGCTTTAGCTGAAAACTGCAGTTATGGTGCGCTGCACGATGAGTTAATAAGAGATCGCCTCGTCGTGGGTCTGAAGGACATCAGCCTAGCGGAGAGACTTCAAATGGACAAAGATTTGACGTTAGAGAAAGCGGTTAACCAAGCCAGGCAGTCAGAAGCCATCAAGAAGCAACCAGAACATGGATCAGCTGGGCCTCAGTCACCAACACCCAGGTGCATGAATGGGTGCAGATGAAGGCTGAAGGCAGAACTGCCTTGGGAGCAGGGACAGGGACCGGTCGAGCTCTACCTATCTTAATACCGGGAACTGAGATGGGTGCAGGGAAAAGCTGGGTCCAAGCCACACTGGGAGCAGAAGCAGGCAGAGCATATGGCTTACGCGAGGTCACAGGTGGAAGAACAGTCTTAGAAACCAGCAAAGACGAGGTACCACAGTCTTTAGAGGGAGCCCCAGAGGGTGCAACAGAACCAGTTCTGCACAGGTTCACAGCAAACAGTCTTCAAAGAGGTCCCCTTCAGGGTCCTCAGAAGTGACACTAACTCTAGAGTTGCTACCCCGCCACTTTGCAAACAGTTTCAAAACAAGGCAAATCATGAGCAGACTCAGATACACATTGTACTGGTTCAGGGTTTGGTTTAAAAACATGTATAGTTTGATTAACAGTAGATGAGATTTCATTATCCACCAGCGCAGTAACATCACATGAAGTTATGGTTGACCCTTGCAAGAACCCAAAAATTCTGTTTTGTTTTACTTTGTTTACTGGGTCAACTACAAGATACACATCTTTTATGCTGGCTGACTCTGAAGCAAAACAAACAGTCTTCGATTTTGCTGGGTTAGTGGTACACCTGGGAAACACAACTGGACTTAAACTAAGAAAGGCCAAGAGCAAGAGACACAGAGAGAGTGCGAAAGACACAGGGAGCGACATGACTGGAGAAACAGGCAAATGAACATGGAGACAAGGCTGACTTGATACAGAAAACGAGGGAGAGAATGAGAGAGGAGGAGTGAGCACCAAGGGGAAACTAACAACAAGGCAAGAACTCAGCAGCATAACCAACTAAATCCAAGACTGCTAATAGGAAATTTCAAAGAAATAAACAAGCTGATAATCCAACTCAAAACACTGATGAAAAGACCCGAGACCTTGACACTTAAATTACTTATTACAAAATCTGTGGCCAGGCTGATTCACGGTCTTTTAGCAGATTTTTTCACAGCATTGTCATGGCATAATATTGTTGAGCCATGTAATCCTTCTTATGAACGTATTAACAGAAGCGAGGAAACTAACAGCCCTCATCTGCATTTGTGTGGCTTTTTTCTTTGAACCAAGACAATAATTTTCCCCGACATGGCTGTAATACACCACTGCAGACAACATACCTCACTGCTATGTTTAACAAACACAGATAACTAGACCAGGACTGAGAAAGGACATTTGGTCAGAGCAGTGTAAAAATCTGAATTTTATAACTTTTATAAAGTTTCTACAAGTTTCTGTTAAATCATAGTAACAGAATTCCAAAAGCCATTGTACCACAACATGTTAGCACCGTGGTTCTTGCTTTAATCTTTTGGATGCTAACAATTCTTGCCTCAAGCACAGGGCCATGATCATAGCCTTCTCGTTAAGAAGGAATCTAAGTACCTGTCTTTTTCTTTGTTTCTGTGTCTCCAGATCTATGCAGCTCTCAACATATTCTTTGGCATGGCTAGTATTGGCCTGCTGACCGTGGTGGCCATTGATCGTTACCTTTCCATCTGCAGACCAGATATAGGTATCCCACTTAGAGAGCCTAATATTTGCATATATAATTTACCCGACCACATTGTTATACTCCTTTTTATCTGTTACAAAATTGACAAAGATATTCATGATCAAGGGTTACCATGGGTTACCATAATTCCATCATTCATCACACAACCAGTTATACTGGTCACAAAGTGATGTGCGATTAATCTCATGTTCCTTCTGTTGTCTTTTAACCACTGCTTAAATTGTTCTATTTTATTCATAAATCGTTTGTAAGTTCACCAAAATACAGACTCATTGAAGATGTTTTGAGGAAGTACAACCCAAATTTCAAAAAAGGTGGGACCTCTTATAAAATGTAGCAGGGAAAACAAAAACAAAGCGTTTCAAACACACACACACACACACACACACACACACACACACATATTTTCAAGGGAGAATCTCAGACCAGTTGACTGAGTTACCAGAAAACTTATCAAAGATGTAATCAGAATGTGTAATGGCAAAAGTGAGTTTTTAGGATT